CATTCTCATTAGCCTTAATGTTATGAACTTTATCAATACACATGGCTCTGTTATTCTCGAGAGTCTTCTTCACTTCTTCGACTTGTTTCTCCAAATTTCCCCAAATATCCATAGACAAATGGCAGTTATCAATACGTTTAAAGATCTCATGAGGTATAGCCTTAATCAACATCTTTTTGCATTCACTTTCCAATCCAACTAATACCTTTTCTTCATCGTTCCAATTTGCGATTGGTTTGGGCTCATAGCGCTCAGGAACTTCAGGGGTTGTACTAGTAGCTGGAATTCTTCGAATCAAACTCATTGGCACATATGCAGGATTATAGAGAAATTCACACATTCTAGGGTGAATTTCTTCTAGGAAGTTGATCATCTACTCTTTCCATTGCAGATATTCATCACAGATAAGCATAGGAGGCTTTAATTGAGATCCAGTACTCATGAATGAGTTAATAACCAAGTTCTCTATTGAATTTGAATGAAACAGGGTAAACAGGAGAAAAAAACTAGTGTTCTTGAGCAAATGCAGATTAATACCAAGAACAGAATAAATCAAATTAGAATTTGATTCCTGCTTTGATACCAATTGTTAGGACCTTTAGATTCAGCTTGGTATTTAATCACTTACTCTGGATGAACTCTTAGAACGATTACAGTGCAGCGGAAACAAATAAATGAACAAACAGAGCAAATAATCAATCAAGAACACAGATGAAGAATATGAAGAACAAGAGAGAATAGCTTCAAATGATTTTCAATTCTATTGAAAATATTGACAATTACAATACGAGAAGCACACAGAATTACAAAGGCCTAAGCTGCTATTTATACTAGTTCCTATCGGCTTTTCTGACATGACCTAGACAAGTGAAATGATCTAAGCCGTTCAAATAAAGCAGATTACAAACATAGTCACGTTATAAGCACGTGCAGCTAACAAACCTAAGTAAAGCGGTGAGAAGAGGTTCTTCACAGAAGATAATACTGCAAATCCTCTGTGAGCCATCCAAGAGGCTCTGCTGGATGTGACTTGTAAGCTCTTGATGCTAGAGGATCGGTTTCCAGAACCTCTGTGAGAGACAACAGAGGTTCTGTCATTCTCGACTTGTATGCTTTTGTTCACAGAGGACAAGTTTCCAGAACCTCTGTGATGGACAACAGAGGTTCTGTCACTTTTGACTTGTACGATTGAACACCTTCTGTTGTTGGTCCTCTGTGGTCTTCTGTGGTAGACCTCTTCTGTCAACACTTGCAGTAGTACTTTTTCGTACTTCTACATTAAATGAAATATGAGAGCTAACAGTTCCTTTACTTAAGCTAGGAAATGCTCAAAGTAAGAATTAGGTTTAGAAAGTGAGTTGCGCGCACTCTGCATGGACAAGAAACACTTATATTTATACCCAGTGCATTAAATGTTCATTTAATGCAATATGGTAGGGTTAGAGTGCGTGTCAAGCCTTAAGAGGAAGGCTTGTCCTTTGCTACAATGAATAGTACAAAAAGCACTATTCATGAGCAGACATCCTTACCTAAAGTTGGTGGGCAATAGAGTCGACTAGTCGGCTCCATACCGTACTAACTATTAGAAAGGGTATGGTTTTGTCCTTTGTGTGCATATAGACAAGACAACAACAATCGTGCTAAGAAAGCTTCCTTTAATCGTTGAATGCTGGAATAACCTGGAGGTCTCTTCAGCATTTACTGAGGCGTGAGCAGTGTTCACACATATGTAGACAGACTTGTAATCACAGAGTACTGCTTCAGATCATGTACTCGCCATTCTCTAATCTTTAGTTTCAGTCTTTGACATTAGCTGAAGGTTCTTTGGTGTGAGTGTTGTCTTTTTGAAATATCGCTGTCTCTGGTTGAATTACAATACAAGTTCTTCTGATGATCGCTGGAACTGAAAAGACAGAAACATAAATACAACGTATAAGTGAAAAGGGATTATCATCAAATCACTGAAAGAGAGGATCAACAAAGGAGTTATTATCTAACTTCACTAATTCTTTTGAAGGAACCATAAACTTTGGGAACGACCGGTTTCACCAATTCTTGAATATGGTGATATTGTTCAAGGAAACTTCACGATTAAGAAAGGTTTTTAATGTTGAGGGACTTGGGCATAATCAATTCAGCATAGGTCAATTCTATGGAAAAAATTGAGGTCAATTTGTTCGAACTGAATATGGTAAATCATAGTCAGGAAGCGGAAATCACCTCTACACAATTAATCTGTCGAATTTAAAAGTACATACTTACGTCTGCTTTATGTTTGAAGCTTCTATGCAACAAAATCTGTTGTGGCAAAGACATCTCTCTCATCGGAACTTCAAAAATTTGAACAAGCTGGTAACTAGAGGCTTAGTAAAAGGATTACCAGATCTCAAAATTCAGAAAGATCTTGTATGTGTAGCCTGCGAGTTAGGTAAGATGAAAAGACCTTCGCACAAGTCAAAAGTGGAGCATAGCACTGATCAACCCCTACAGCTTCTGCACTTGGATCTCTGTGGTCCAATGAGGGTTCACAGTATCAACGAAAAAACATTATGTATTCGTGATAGTTGATGACTATTCCAGATACATGTGGGTCAAGTTTCTACGGTCTAAGGATGAAGTACCAGATATTATAATTCCATTTCTCAAGAGCGTCCAAGTTAATCTGCGGTTATCTGTTCAAAATCTCAGAACGGATAATGGCACAGAATTCAAAAATAAAATATTGGGCTCCTTCTTAGATTCAGTCGGTATCTCACATACGTTTTCAGCGGCCCTGTTGGTCCCAACCAGATCTACAAGAGTTTATAGGTAACAGTTTGTAGAAGGGGAGATGAATACAAACACAGTAACTTTCACTTTTAAAAATTATATATTGATAAAGAAGATCAATACAAATTTTACAGATTGTTTGTGGAAGAGATGGAATACAAAACCTATCTAAACAATCTAAGATACACACAAAATACAGATAACAATAAGAAAAGATTTGCTACAAGAAATAAGGTAAGAAGAAAATGTGCTCTTCACTTGTTAAAGTGGGTCTTTCTCTTAGACAGAAAGAAGAGAGAGAAGTAACTTTTTGGGTAAGTTTTAGAGTGAGGAAGATGATAAGTGAGAGGAGAACCACTCAACTATTTATACGCATTGCATTTAATGCAATTCAGAAGCTATAGGACACATGACAAGCTTTTAGAGGAATGTTTGTCCTTTGCTACAGTATATAGTTCTTTTTGGTTGTAGAGCAGTCCTCTTTCATAAAGTAGGTAAGCACGTTTAGAGTCAAAAGAGTGGCTCCATACTGTACTATACTTAGAAGGGTATAGGTTTGTCATTTATGTGTAGAGGACAAGAAAAAAACAATCTTGCTTGACAAGTTCATTTGATCGCTGAACATTGGAATTGCTGAAGGGTCTCATCAGCGTTCGGTGAATCTTGCACAGACTTCACACATTTGCTTAAGTTACATCAGTAAGGAAAAGGTTTTAGTAAAATACTTGTCCCTTTTAACTGTTTTGGGATCTTTTTCAGTGATACAATTTACTTATGAAAATTTACTTAAAGTTGTAAAGGATTACATGTTCAAGGATAATATGACATAATAATGATAACTGAAATTGAAAGCATATTCATTAACTAGAAAGTTGTCAGTGAATGTAAGAGTACTGGGCTCATAAATACTTGTTCCATTTACTCTTTTCAGGGATTTTTTTTTCAATGAACTAGTGATTTCATTGAATATTAAATAATGGAAAATATTACAAGTCTTTCATCAATACTGGTAGACCTATTACATACAGGTTATATACTTAAAGTAAAGAAAAGAAAATAAGATTTACAAAATAAAAAGGACGTCTAATCTAAGTCTCTGAAGTTGATATAACCAGGTACATCTTCTCCAAGCTTCTTTCATCTCAGCATCTCCTTTCTGATCTTGCGTTCCATCACCTCTCCAAAGATATCATTATCTAGCCAGGTCCTGAGATACTGCAAATGATCTATCGGACAGAGGTGGAACTCGGATACTCGCTGGAACCTATATTCACCGTCATAGTCAATGAACATGAGTCCATACTCAGGTTTCACGTGAACAGTGTTAGGTATGAAGGGACCTTTCTTAGTAGTGTCAGGTTCAGCTTTGGGAGATCTGACTCCTTTTGATCCTTCAGAATTTCATCCAAAGGGAATTTAGTCTCATGTTCGTTCTTATGGGATGGTCCATCTTTATGATCTGAAAGGTGTTTTCATCTAGAAGGAGGCTTCTTTGGCAGAGGAAGGACCTCGACGATCTTGGACACCTTCTTGAATAAATCGTTCAAAATATCTTCAATGAGCGGCTTATGCTTTGACTTTGATCGCTGAATAGCCTGTCGAATCTCTAGCCATTCATCGAAGACATACTTCCCAAGGTAAGAAGGGTACTTGGTGACATCATCTTAATTCTCTCTAAAGATGACCAATAAGATAAGAAGTCCGCCATCCTTCATCCATCCACTGATGGTGACGTTTGAGATCTTCTGGGGACTTATCCTTTCTTTGATACTTTCATTGCACCATTTCAGGTCTCGGTCTTTTAGCGTGAGCATTTGTTAATGTTCTTGTTCAGCTTGTGACAAAAGTTGGGCCTGAGCTTTGATTGGATCCTTCTTATTGAGTTTCCCTTTGGCCAGAGCTTGGACAACTAGAGACTTCTCAACTAAATTATCCTTTGGTCCTTATCAGCTTCAGATGTTGGGATATCAGTTACTTTCATCTAGAGTACCACAAGGGTTTGTTGGTGCAGTAAGTAGAAGAGTAGAGGGATCAGATTTTGGAGAAAAGGGCACGAACCTGGAGCATTGAGCTACCTTCGTTGGATTGATTTTCTTGAAGAGGATGGCAACGTTCCTTTCTTCAGCCATTCCCTTGTCCTTGGAGGAAGAGTGTTGGTTCTTTGAGGTTCTCTCCTTCTAGGAAGTTGGTTCCCTAAGGGAGACAATCTTCTAAGCTGGTCTTGGATGGTATTAAATGGTAAAGTCGTCATCATCTTCATCATCATCGTCGTCTCCAAGGTGTTGTCCAACATTAGGGATCTGAGGTTCTTTATCCTCATCTTCCTCTTCATCATCAATTTTCTCATCACCACCATTCTGCAATGCTGAAGTAGGGGGAAGGTCTTATTGAGTAGCCAGAGCTATTACGACATCATAATCATCCTCAGCTTCAACTTCATCAGTTTTGTTGGCATCCTTAACGGCAGGGATAACATCTGCATGAGGGAAAAGAGCAAGGGCTTCATCAACAGCAGCATTACTGGCATTCTCCATGGCAATTTTCTCACTCTTGTCTTTCTCCCCCTCTTTTTCATCATCAAGATGCAAGGTGAGATCACTAGGACTCGAGGAGATGTCTTTAACTCGGTGCTCCAAGTTGGAGAGAGCTTCAGCTTGCAATAAATTAAAGGCGGCCAGCTGCTCCAATTGATGATGGTCAGATTCAGTGAACACAGGTTCAGGGACTTAGGCTGGTTGCTGCAGGAGCTGAAAGATTTGATGAAGCAGCTCATATGCCTAGTGAACTAAGCCTGGACTTTTTCGGCCTTGCTGGCGATAGCAGCCACGGCCTCAGTGTTGTCTACGACTTCATATTGCACTGTTGCCAGCATATCCTTTACTTCACGACCTCAGCTTTTACAACAGAGAGGCCGTGAGTAAGGTCTTCCTTCACGAGCATTACCAACCTGTTTTGTTTAGTATGAAAGGAAAGCGGCTTGAAGGTTATAGAAGTTCTTGAATTCTTGCTTGTAGCAAATCTTGAGAGCAAAATTTCTTGAGAGTTTCTGTAAGCGTAAATAGTGATATGAGAGGGTATCTCATGTATTTACAGGTATGATGAGAGAGAATGAAGAGAGAGAAAAACGACTCTTCGAAAAGATGTGCAATGATGAAAATATTTGCGCGTCATCACCCTATGTGTGATAACTGGGTCCCGGTTATCACCTGAGGTAATTATTATGTGATTATTTGATGTATGATTACGTGAATATGTGATTAATTTCTATTTGATCATGGGAAATATGGATATGTATATATATATATATATATGGATGCTATTTGTATATATATATATATATATATATGTGGGTACATGAGTTTTTTTGTATGCATGGTTTGCATTCATGTTTATGCTTGTAGTATGAATGAATTTAATATTCATTCTTATAAACCACCTTTCCTCTTAAGGAAAGGGGTATTTATAGAGAAAGCTTGACAAGGAGAAAATCTTTCTACCATTTTTGAAAAGCTAAGAGTGAAAGCATACTGTGTATATTGTTTGCTGAAGTTGGGATCAAACTTGTAGCTGATTCGTATTTGCTATTTTATATCTTCAAATTCTAAGTTTGCCTAATGTGAGTTTTTACTATAAACAACCTTTGAATATGGTTTTTACTGGTTTTATAACTTTGAAATGATGATGTATGATTTGAATATGTTGCATCTAGTCTTTGTTGATCTTCATCCACCGGTAAAGGCTATCCGGACAAGTACTGTCCGAGGAGGGTCCTTACTAGCCAAAGCTTTAACCAGTGAGGGATTTTGAGTGAATTTAGTGTTGTCCGATAAGGTGTCTTCACCGGACACAGTGCTGTCCGGATGATTAACTCATCCTTCATTATGTTTAATTACATTCGATAAGTATTGACTGGTGAGGGTTGTATCTGGACACTTGTTGTCCGATGAGAGTGTATCTAATTGAGTGTTACCCAGATTAGTATAACTTATGCTTGACCAATGAAGCTTGTGACCGGACACTATGTTATCCGAAGAGGGTGTGTTCGGATAGCTGTTCATGGCTTAAATTAATCAAGTGTCATCCAGATAAGAGTGTCCAGCTGAGAATGTCCGGATATGTGTTGTCCGGATAGACTTGTCCGGACTGTATTGTCCGAATGAGAATTGGCTAATGAAGTTATTGATGAACTTCGAGTTATTTGGTAATGGGATTTTCACAATTAACATTTAAATATTATATTGTGAAAAGGGTATTTTATATCTTTTGATATATTGGAAAAGATATTAAATGTTTCTTCCAGACGTGGTGACATAAGTCTGTTCTGGTTTGAAACTTTGTTTTAAATGTTCCTTCTAGACGTTGTGACATAAGTCTATTCTGGTTTGAAACTATGTTCTGAGAATGTTTCTTCCAGACGTGGTGACATAAGTTTGTTCTAGTTCGAAACTTTATTTTGAAATGTTTCTTCCAGATGTGGTGACATAAGTCTTTTTTGGTATGAAATTATATTTTGATAAATGTTTCTTCCAGACGTGGTGACATAAGTCTGTTCTTGTTTGAAACTTTGTTTTAAATAGTTCCCTCAAACGTGGTGACATATGTCTGTTCTAGCTTGGAACTGGGTATTGGCTACTTCCAGACGTGGTGATGTAAGTCTGTTCTTGTAAGGAACCATGTTTTTAAAGAAGAAATAAAGGTGGCATATCAAGGAGAGGTGTACCTATGGAGATAAGGGTGGCAATTCCTGGTGTAGTTAATATTATAACTCTTGTTATTTTCACTATCAGATACAATAATTCTAAATCAGCATTTCTTTGTGGCTTGATGATTTGGAGGKATTGTTCTCTTTAGAAATAATAACTTTGATGTTATTGAGAAGGGGAAAACGATTTATAACCAGAGGCATCAATTGCCTATGATTTCTAAATGATTTCTATCAAGTTTGAACAAGTATGAGAATGATGCAAAGGGGCTCTAGTTGGTCTCTTAGAAGGACCAGAGGACCTCTGGTCATATGGAAAGACTTTAAAATGTTTTGAGAATTTTACGAACCAGAAGCTTTATATGTATTATACAAAAGCTTTGTATCTTGAAAATAATTTTGATTGTGTCTAAGCTTTGTATCAGAGCTCTATCTTTTAAAATTAAATATTTTCTCAAATATCTTTATAAATGAAATAAGAACCAAGGAGCTCTTGTTCTTGCTTATTTTATCTTTTAAAATCAAGGTAGGTCCTTTTTGGACCAGATACTCTGTTGGTCCAGAGGGTCTCTAGTGGAGTGGTGTTTTGTTTGAAGTACAGAGGCTTTGGTCAGTAGAGCCTCTGGCTCTGATTATCAAGGCCAGAGGAGCTCTGGCCCATTGAGTTAGAGGAGTCCGATGTCAATTCTATAAAGGGATTTTGAGTTCCGAGAAATTGCATATGTGTTGTATGTGAAGCAATCTGTTGATTTATATATTTTGGCTAACAAACATATTTCATGTCGTTGCTAAAATATATATTATTCTTTATCTAAAAGATGTTTTACTAGATTTTGGTGATCTTCACCCTGTACTTGCAAAGAAGGGATTTACTCACTATACCTTCCGATCTAACCCTCATTTTTGTATTTTAAAAATGTGCATTGCAAGAACTACGGGGTCACGGGATATTAAAGGGAAGGGGAAATATAATTATTTTTCTTATGTGTTATCTATTTTTTTGAAGATCATTCTGTTGTCTGTATATTTTGAAGATACGTGTTGTTATACATGTGATAGTGCAGGGATATTCTTTTGGAATTTTTCATATGTAAATTTTGTACATATTGAATTGTACTAATGGGACTATGTGGTATAATATATATTTCTTTTATATAAAATATATGTTATATGCAAATGTGGAGTTTGGGGTGTTACACTATGATTGGGTGGAATAACAATGGGTTGCATGTGTTAGAAGGACACACACATAACAAGAGTTCAAGATTCAAAAACTTTAGTGACGTCGTAAACTATGACCGTCAGGAAATAGAAACTGATTTTTAAGAAAAAAATTAGACGAGTGTAAAACCCATCATTTTCAAACAAATCAATATTTTAGAAAAGCATAAAACAAACTCACACATATACCAGACACAAACTATTTTTTTAAACGAATGACACAACAAAATTTTTATAGAGGACACATAAGCCAAAAGAACCAGTGAAGACTCAAACAAAATTATTTGTCAACATTTAACATTCCCAACTCACCAATTAGAAAGTTAAACCGAGCTTCATCAAGAGGCTTGATAAACAAGTTAATGAGTTGATAGTCTGTAGGGATAAATTGAAGTTCAAAATCACCTTTCATCACATGATCTCTTATAAAGTGATACTGAATATCAATATGCTTTGTACGAGAGTGAAAAACTGGATTGTTGGCAATAGCAATGGCACTTGAATTGTCACAGAAATTGGGAATTTTTTAGAACAGCTGCTCGTAATCAACTAATTGATTTTTCATCTACAAGACTTGTGCACAACAGCTACCTGTAGCAACATACTCAGCTTCAACTGTTGAGGTGGACACAGAGTGTTGCTTCTTGCTAGCTCAACTGACTAACTTTCCACCAAACAACTGACAACTCCAAGTTGTACTTTTTCTGTCAACTTTGCAACCTTCATAATCAGAATCTGAAAAACATGTTAGATCAAAACCTGAGTCTTTGGGATACCAAAGACCCAGATTGGGAGTACCCTTCAGGTACCTAAAAATGTGTTTAACAGCTGCCAAGTGAGATTCCTTTGGATTCGCTTGGTATCTTGCACAAAGATATGTGGAGAACATAATATCTGGTCGGCTAACAGTAAGATAAAGTAAGGAGCCGATCATTCCCCTATAATTGGTCACATTTACCAATTTGCCATCGGGTCTACATTCAGTTTCAAGGGGGTGCCATTGGGGTTTTCATGGGAGAACATTCAGTAAAATCAAATTTCTTTAAAAGATCTTTAACATATTTTCTTTGATTTATAAAGATTTCTTTGTCGAATTTCTTGACTTGCAAACCCAAGAAAAATGTGAGTTCACCCATCATACTCATCTCATATTTACTTTGTTTGAGTTTTGAAAACTTTCTACACATAGATTCTTTAGTGGCACCGAATATGATATCATCCACATAAATTTGTACAAGAATGACATTACCTTTATGTTTCCTAAGAGAGAGGGTATTGTTAATTTTACCACAAGAGAAGCCATTTTCCAGAAGAAAAGTAGAGAGAGTGTCATACCATGCACGAGGAGCCTATTTGAGACCATACAAAGCTTTGTCTAATTTATAGACATACCCTGGATGTTTAGGATTCTCAAAGCCTGGAGGTTGCTTCACATAGACTTCTTTAGTAAGTTTCCCATTCAGAAAAACACTTTTTACATTCATCTGGAAAACTCTAAAGTTCTTGAATGCAACATAGGCAAAGAAGATTCAGATAACTTCCAACCTTGCTACTGGAGCAAATGTCTCATTATAATCAATGCCTTCCTCTTGCCTGTATACTTGGGCAACGATTCGGGCCTTGTTTCGAGTCACCGTTCCATTCTCATCCATTTTGTTTCTGAAGATTCACTTTGTGCCAACAATCGTTACGTTGGCTGGTCGGGGAACCAGTCTCCAAACTTTGTTGTGCTCGAACTACAACAATTTTTCTTGCATGGCACTGATCCAGCTAGGATCATCAAGTGCTTCTTCAATCCTTTTAGTCTCGATGAGAGATAGAAAATTAACATACAAATAGATATTACCAGCACCGCGACGTGTTTGGACACCTGCTTGCTGATCACCAATAATTTGCTCCACTAGGTGATCTCTAGTCCACTTAGTGGTATTAGGAAGAGGAAGAAGAAG